ATTTTTACAGTACCATTTTCAGATGTTGAACATCCGAAAACTTACTTCCTGGATTTTCACTGGGAGTTTTCGGATGTTGAACATCCGAAAACTTATTGTGAGATTTTCACAGTGAGTTTTCGGAAGGTCCTGGATATTCACAGTGAACATCCGAAATTTTTCAGACATCACATTGATCATGGACATCAAGATGCATTGACATGATAAAAATATGAACATCATTTTTGGATGCATGGACATGAGAATAACTCATTTCTGAATATATGGCTATGAATTTTATTTTCTTATTTTAAGGCTATCACAATTGTTTTCATTGTTGATTTTATGATTTTGGATGCACAATAGCTATTATTTTCACCACCATCAATCACAAGAAATAATGTAAATAATGTTAAATTAATAAATCCCATTAATCTTATATTGAATGTATACTGGATAGCTCTAGGGAGTTATATGATGCTAAACCCAATATATATATGCAACCACTAACAATCAAATTTCACCAAGGCTCTAAGTCTTCTCAAGATAGCCCATAAGCACAACATGACACATTGATATCAAGAGTGATATTGAAGATTCTACAATATATTTAGTGAGCAGTAATAATACAAATACTTTAACTTTGCATAAAAAATATGCTAGCTCTCTATGACCCTCAAAATGACCCATTACAAAATTGGGATCCTCAAAATAACCAATTACAAAATGACCCATTACACGCCTCGTCTTCTCTTAGACTGATACTATTTATTTCGTGTGTTATATCTTCTGGGTTCCTCAACTGCAGGTTGTGTGGAGGGAGCTAGGTCTTCTACAACCCGACTACTTTGACCCACTCCATCATCTCCAGCCTCGTCTGGTATAACTTCGTCATTATATTGACGTTGTAAATGCTCCATCCTGGCTTCTACGTCACCCATATTCATAGGCACAAATTTAGACAACATTTCAAACACATTGTTAACGTGATTAAGAACTTCAGGGTACTACTTCTGTCTAAGTGTAAGTGCCTATGCTAACATGACTGTAGATGCCTTAACTACACTAACCTGCACAACAAGATTACATAATTAACATATTTAAACAATTGAATATAACTAATAGGTAAATAAAATACTATAAGAATTTATAGGTCAATATAAACGTACCAACTGGTCCACAAAACCTCGAGGTCTCATTATATACTGTAGTTCATAAGCAGGAACCACTTCTTCTTCTTCATGGATATGAGGTTACAATATGTCTTTGGGTGTGTTAGCGACATTATGTATCAAAAGATGGGACACCAAGTTGTACAAGGCCTTGTACTCCTTTGAGGGCAACCCATTATCAGTATCTAGTTGAATATCAGGCATGATGCAGTCATGACGAGACAACCAGTTAGCGATTTTATCTGCATTGACGTTTCACCAGTTTCGCTGTCCAACTTGTTTGCTTGCCCTCTTACTAACATCCAAGAGATTCCTAAGAGTGCCATATTTTGCTCCAAATTACCGGCATACTCGGTCTGGCATGTACGGCTCGACAATATCGTCAAATATCAAAGTTGTAGGGTACATTCAGTTTGAAATGTCTGCAGCTTATCATCTGAAATGACCTCATCAGGGTTGAACTAGGGATTCCAGATTATCTGTTATATGATATGTAATCGGCTAATAAAAATAATTACAAATACTTAAATACTATTGAAAGAAATCAATATCAAATTATACACTAACCTCATTAGGTTGGAGGTTATCACTTTCTTGTCTGATGGGAGGCATTAAGTTATATGGATTGCCATAATATTCTTCGATGGCCCTAGAAATATTTGGAGGGATACTATGCGGTATGGGCCTCATATGCATAATATGCTCATATAACCAGCACTTCAATAAATTGAGTATGATAAATATTAAATATATTAAGAAAGCAGTCTAAACTATTACGCTTATATCATATACCAAAACAAATGGTTACCTTCATGAGAGTGCCTGAACCACTAAAATGTCTTCGCTTGAAAGTGCAAGCTTTTCTAAGTGAGTGATAGAAGAATGCAAGGGCTGCAACACCCCAAGCATATGTGCTGGCACCCTCAATATCTTCAAAAAACTGCACGTACCTTGTTGGCACTGTTGAAACTGATGCATCAGCGAATATGGTTACACTGATAAGAAAGAGCAGATGTGCTTAAGTATATCTATAAACTTGAACTGGGGTTGCAACAGTTGGCAACTCCCTAAAATTCACCTTCAGCCATGTATGCCTCAAGCTTGCCAAGTTTCCATTAGGGACTATATCCAAATTATCTTCTAAAAACTTTTGCAGGTCCTTGATAGGACGACATGTGATTGGGTCGCCACCCACAGTCAGTCCTAATATCTCGTATACATAAAAAAGTGTTGGTATCATCTCACCAATACGAACGTTGAAATAAAAGGTGTTGGTCTCAGAACGCCACCTCTCTATATTAGCTGCGACCAAAGGATAATCAATTCGGCCTAGCCGAGTGATAGCCAACGGACCCAACCCAGAAGCATGAACTAACTAAACTTGTTCTATTGTGAATTTCCATTTATTTAATTGATAACTCTTCTCATCAATTCTAATTTCTTCTTTCTCTTGAAATACAACAAATAAACAACATATTAGAATCAATATATATACATGTACTTTCCATAGGATGTTTGAACCAGACTACCATTTACTGAATATTAACAAATACATAGAATAGGCAGATGAATATATGCCTATTCCTGTCCTTCCCATATGAAATATGAGCAATGTTCTGAATGAAGTTGCAACAAACTAGGGTCTTGAGGACCTCCTGGATATCCTCCATCGGGATCTAAACGATCCATATTCACTGAAATCCCATATGGTCGCCATGTTAATCATGAGGATACACATGTAGAAATTAGCTAGATAACAAAAAATAATAATGACATGCTATTGATGAAGAAGAACATTGCTACAATCCATTGATGAAAGAAGAATAGTGCTAAAATGAAATTGCTATGCTAATCCAACTAAGGATCGTATACTTGAAAATCGAAATCAATCAGCGAATGTGGTGGCCAAATAAAGAATTTATTATTTGAGTCAAACAGACAACTAAAAAGAATTCAAAGAGTTATTCAAAAACCACTAAACAACTTCCATAATTAGCTACAGCAAAAAAACAGTCTCATATCCAGCTCTTAAATCCAATTTAATATCTCTACTTGAAGAACTACTATACAGACCCCTTAATTAACCAGATATACACAATCCTCATCCAGTTCTTTCATCAGTAACCATTTCAATACCATGTGAAATACTACACTAAGTCCAATTCAATGGACCTCAGCTAAACAATAACCAAACCCTAGATGGATAAAAAAAAAAAACACAGTAATCCCTTACCAAGTAATCATCCTCGACCAAAAACTAAAGAATTCAACTTTAATGAGTAACAAAATTATTTCAACGGAATTCAACATTGATAAGAACTAAAGCATTTCATTGCAAAGACAAGAATCCAACTTTCATCAACAGCTAAATCATCCCATAAAAAACAAAGAGTTCATGTTAGCTCAGTAACCAATCTATTAAAAAACCATGCAGTTCAATCAAAAACTAAAGAAATCGATTTATAGATAGACGACCGGCTCCATCAAAAAAGAAACAATTCAATGTTATGTAAAGCAACAATTTCAAACAAATAATAGAGAACAATGTTACTTATAATACAAGCAACAGATTAAATAAAAAATATTCAAATAAATGTAGCCATTGTTATATGAATCATAAATCATAAATCATAATTCAAATAAATTCACTCATTAAATACTTTGCAAAATATTCAAAGTAAATAGGTACTTGAATCATAAATCACATACATATTTTATTTTTAAAGCTACTCAATCTATCAACTACAAAAATCAACAATTTACTAAAATATCAATAAATGTAACACAAATATGTGCTTAGGACTATCTAAGAGTATAAACCCCCAAATTTAAGTAATTTATAGTTATACAGAAACCACAAAATTCCAAGTTCTCAAAACCCACAAATTATAAATATCTAATTCAATCACAATGGAGCCACAAATTAATTCAATCTATACCAAAATCACAACAAATAATTAGTGCTTGAGTATAAACCCTAACCAAAATTCAGGTGGCAATCTAAATAAAAAATCGACCCACATACGTTTTCAATGTGAAATTGCTTCAAAATCCGAAAAATGCTGCCTGCCAAAGACGAACACTGTTGAAAATCAAAATAAAAAAACTAATTGCTACTCTTTACCAATAAGGTAGACAATAGCAATCACACTCTCAAAGAATGAGAAAAACGCAGATGCACTATGAAAGAATGAAAAAAGCGCAGAAAACAGGGCGGACGAAGTTTACTCACTATCCCGCTCTTTTCGGATGTTCAACATCCGAAATTCCCAAATTTCTGATGTTGAACATCCGAAAATTCCACATTTTCTGATGTTCAACATCCAAAAATTAAAAAGTGAACGTTTTTTTTAAATCCTGTTTTCGAAAAAGGGCAAAAGTATCTTTTTTTGAAAAAGGCGTTATGAAAGATAAAAAACGGATATATGAGTAATAACGGAAACTTTTAAGTGTAACCGTAATAACATAAAGTATAACAGATATATATGTAATTTTCTCTAAAAAATAATTCTAGAAAATACATAAATTATTTTCAAATGATAAATTTAGATAAAGAATAACATTGATATTTTTTCTTTAAAATTCTTAAAAAATAAAATGAGTCATGAATAAATTTCAAAAAACATTTAAAATATTGAAACTTAGTAACACAATTATGAATAAAAATATGGCATACATAGATAACATGCAACATCTTTCGTCTATAATGTTTTGAAAATATTTAAGAAGGAGTAATACTTCAAAATGCAATTTAACGACATTAAAATTCTAGAGCTAAATAAATAAAAGTATCAATAAATATAATTTAAGACCATAAAAATAATAATTTAAAACATGATAAGTTTTCAAATTGGTATTCTATTTCTGTAGTACATAAATTAGTATATTTTAAAATTCTCAAAATTCATAGTAAATTATTTTGGATTAAATAATACTAAGAATTAGTTATAACTAAAAATTAAAACCATCATAGATTTTTCAAAAATAATGGTTATAATAAATTTAGAAATTGGTAATCAAGGATTTCTTAAACGTAAAAGATTCTTAAAAAGGGAATTTCATTTGTATTTTTAAAGTCATTAATAAAATGAGATTGTATACAATAAGAATAATTACCATAGATACAAGGTGGTCACAATTCCTTACAACAATTTGATATGAAATTTGATAGCTTGGATGTGTCAGAAAGTTCGAGATAATTTCTTTTAAAGTTTGAGCTTGGTCAATAGAATAATTGTAACAACCCAATTTCACATCCAACAGTCAAGATTAATGTGACCATATTGCATCAAAGGTAAATGGTCTCATTCTATACTTTCTCCAATAAAATTGCTTAATGGTCAACAATAAATTTTGAATAAAAAATTGAACAAATGAAAACTCATTTTCTATTAGAAAACTGTAGTTAGAAGGAAAGGAAAACAAAAATGATAGTGATTTTGAAAATATTAAAACTTGAATTAAAAGCGATAAAAAAAAAGTAAAAGAGATAAAAAATAGTCATACTTTATTTCTGAAGCACGAAACTTACATATTACTTTATAATATATATATATAAATATATATATATATATATATATATAACATACAATATGGTTCTATTTTGAAGTTCAGTATTTTACATATTATATAAATAAATTAGAAATTATAAAACTATTCTTAGGAGCAAGATCAT